CTGGGCAAACTACCACAAGATATTACTAAAGTAACCTTCAGACTAAATAACGAGACAGCTGTAAACAACTTTATAGCAGCTATGAATAACATTGATTGGCAAAATGAGCTCGAAACATATACAGATATTAATGAATGTATAAATAATTTTCTAAAAAAATGGTCCATTACCTCTACAACAAACATTGCTCTAAAAAATTAAACAGTTCACAGCAAAGAGACTGAATAATCCCTGGCTAACACCCAGCATCCTCAAATCCATTAACACAAAGCACAATTATGAAAAACAGTACAGAATGGGGTGAAATAACTAGAGAACAGTCTAAACGTTACTCGTCAGCACTTACCAGCCTGATAAGATAAGATTTCGTTCGGATTTTTTAACCACGGAGGGTAGCCTACCCAGGATAACCAAGAAAGTCGTGCGTCATCGTGAACATGTCTAACTTAATTCATGGGGTCTTAATCTAGGTCCCCCAGATGCGACCCACACAGTCGACTACACCAGGTTACATATTTGCTGTAGGTGAACCAGGAAAAGGTGTAAGACCGTGTCCGAAATGTTCCACCGCCGGGAATCGAAACCGGGCCCTCCGTGTGTGAAGCGGAAGCTTTAGCCACCAGGCCAGGCTGGTGACGAAACATAGGAAATTCGAACATCAAAGGGATATGAAAAGACCTGGAAACACTATCTGAAATTCTTTGGAACAAATAGTTATCCAAAAATAAAACAATCAAATTAACAAAATCAGACGAACCCCAACTCACACCAACTGAAACAGCAAACAGACTCAATGTTTTCTTCACCATAGGAAAAAATCTAGCGAACAAAATACCAAGCTCAAATACCCGTCCATCAGACTACCTCATAGGTAGTCTGATGGACCCGAATACACTATCTCTAGCTCCAACCAACCCACTAGAAGTTTCGCTCATCAACACCCTTAAAAACAAGGCAGGAGACATAAACAACTTGCCTGCTTTTATGTACAAAAAAGTTTCTCAAGTGTTGTCATCAATTATTGCAAAGCTCTTTAACAAATCCATTGAATCATCTAGCTTCCCAACAATCCTCAAAATAGCGAGGGTCACTCCGATCCATAAAGAAGGTGACCAAGCTAACTTGAATAACTATATAACAATATCAAACTTACCACTACTCTCTAAAATCTTTGAAAAATTAATTCATAGACGGATCTGTTCCTACTTCGTCTCACACAGCATATTAAACACTTGTCAGTTTGGATTCAGGAATAATAAAAGCACAAATGATGCTATCATACACATGCCAGAACTAATATATACTGCACTCGAAAAGAAAGAAGTCCCGCTGGGAATTTTCAATGATTTACGTAAAGCTTTTGATACAGTCGACCGTGAACTGCTGTACTCTAAATTAACGCACTATGGTATCAGAGGCCACTCCCTCAACTACTTAAAGTCATACCTTAGTAGCAGAAGTCAGCATGTGTACACAAATGGTGCAAACTCTTCCACCCAACCAACCACAGTAGGAGTCCCACAAGGAAGTGTCCTTGAACCACTCCTCTTTCTCATCTACATCAATGATCTACCGAATGCATAAGTTACTCAAACCCATATTTTTTGCAGATGACACTACATATGTCTTCTCCCACCCAAACCCAGTCATACTAGCAAACACTGTCAATGCCGAACTGCAGAAAATATCTGCCTGGATGATGACTAATAAACTTACCCTGAATACTGATAAAACATATTTCAGTCAGTTTGGAAACAAAGCTGCAATTGATCCAATTAACATGACGCTAAACGGATCACCAGTCACAAGACTCACAGAGGGAAAATTCCTAGGTATCCACCTTGGCAGTAGCCTTAAGTTCCGGACACACAACAAATCACCAAGAAAATCTCTAAGACTGCAGGCATACTATCAAAGATAAGGTACTACGTTCCACAATCAGCTCTCCTGGCACTGTACCATTCACTCATATACCCTTATCTTACATATGGAATTTGTGCATGGGGATCAACAACATTCAGTCACCTAAGACCTCTAATAACCCAGCAAAAGGCAGCAGTCAGAATAACAAATTCCCACTCCAGACAGCATACTCCACAAATTTTCAAAAGTCTAAATCTGCTCACCATTAAGAACATCCATACTTATTCATGTGCCTACTACATACACAGAACAATACACACAAATATAAACCCTCCACTCAAACTTCTACTTACCAACCTTAACAGGACACATGACCATAACACAAGACACAGATCTCTTTTTCATGTACCTCGTGTCTATATCACACTGTGTAAAAACTTATGCACATAAAGGGCCCCAAAATATGGAACTCATTACCAGAAGATACTGAAGTAACCCGATCTGAAAATCAATTTAAGACTCTTCAAAAGCCACTTAATCACCCTAGACTAAACTCTAAATATTCAGTACACACATACTCAATACATATTCCCATATCATAATTTCAATAATTACTTTTGAACCTATTATCCATTGTTGACAGGAATATAATTGAATCATTGTTTCACAAAAAGCATTTCTGAATATATGAATATATCTTTTGCTTTATATAAATTAGACTCCCTTATAATTAATAGATCTACTGTACAAATATGATATACTCCTTAGTATTAAGTAGTCTGTAAGCCAATAATGTTAAGTTGGCCCATAATACCTAGGCATAATAGTGGGCTCTCTTTGTATTGCTATTTGCAAAGACATAAATAAATAAATAAGGTCAGTGTGACCTCACACAACATCTGCGGTAATAACATCAAGGTCAGTGTGACCTCACACATCCGCGGTGATAACATCAAGGTGAGTGTGACCTCACACATCCGCGGTGATAACATCAAGGTGAGTGTGACCTCACACATCCGCGGTGATAACATCAAGGTGAGTGTGACCTCACACATCCGCGGTGATAACATCAAGGTCAGTGTGACCTCACAACAAACAGCTGCGGTGACATCAAGGTCAGTGTGGCCTCACATCTGCGGTGATAACATCAATGTCAGTGTGACCTCACACATCTGCGGTGACAGCATCAAGGTCAGTGTGACCTCACACATCTGCGGTGACAGCATCAAGGTCAGTGTGACCTCACACAAACATCTGCTGTGATAACATCAAGGTCAGTTTGACCTCACACAGCTGCGGTGACATCAAGGTCAGTGACTTGACACAACAGCTGCGGTAACATCAAGGTCAGTGTGGCCTCACACAACAAACAGCTGCGGTGACAGCATCAAAGTCAGTGTGACCTCACACAAACAGCTGCGGTGACAGCATCAAGGTCAGTGTGACCTCACACAAATAGCTGCGGTGACAGCATCAAGGTCAGTGTGACCTCACACAACAAACAGCTGCGGTGACAGCATCAAGGTCAGTGTGACTTCACACAACAAACAGCTGCGGTGACAACATCAAGGTCAGTGTGACCGCACACAAACAGCTGCGGTGACAAGGTCAGTGTGACCTCACACAGCTGCGGTGACAACATCAAGGTGTGACTTCACACAACAGCTGCGGTAACAACATCAAGGTCAGTATGACCTCACACAACAAACAGCTGCGGTGACAACATCAAGGTCAGTATGACCTCACACAACAAACAGCTGCGGTGACAACATTAAGGTCAGTATGACCTCACACAACAAACAGCTGCGGTGACAACATCAAGGTCAGTGTGACCTCACACAACAAACAGCTGCGGTGACAACACTTACCCTCTGGTCAAGGCAGCAGAGGTCAGTAGCATTCGTCTCTAAATAATTAACATCATTTTCCACTCAAAGACTAAATATGAAAATAACTTTATATTGACATAAAAATGTAACTAGTAATTTGTGTATCATAAGAGAGGTGAGATATATATGTTTGTATTTGTATTTTAATGAAAAAATATTTAGTAAACAGAGAGTACAGGTGTAAAATATTTTTTTATGTGAACGCAAAGGTATTTTGAGATATTAGCTGTATAATGATGTTAATATTAACTCCCAGGTGATATTATTCAGCCGAAGGAGGAAAAGTATCATTTATTTTCCTCATATAATGTTCCTTTAGGTTGAAGACATATAATTGAGGTCGCTGAATACGAGGTCCGTTATAATACCGTCTCTCGTTGCTGTTAAATATGCATATCTACAGCAAATTCTGCTTTTAGTATCTTGATTATATAATTAAAATAATTCTCTAATGCTTTAAAGATTTGTTTTACTGTAAAAAAAAATAATTAAGTGTATATCATTTAACCTAAGTCAATTATTGTAACCAATATTTAATAATTATATACATAGCACGTTATTACGGAATAGATAACTAAAAATGACAGAGTGACTTTTTAATTGGGGTTTTTACTATAAACATTCAGGTTTAAGTTTAAATATTTTATCATTAATTATTTCAAGAAATTACTGCATAGTTACCATAACTAAGATGTCCTTGACAGCATAAGACTGTTGTAGCGGAATAATTAATAAAATCAATAGGAGGTAAAATCCTTTAATGCCGTAATAAAAAGTACAGATAATGACCTGATGTGTTATTTAGTTGAGGTATTAAATGAATTAGTAGTATATATCCTTTGAACACTAATCTTAGTCCTTGAAATAGTAGAAAATGGGAAAGTTGCATCCACACCGGGTAATGTACCTGCTCTAAAATTTGTGGCAAACAAAAAGTTCTTTACGGTCCATAGGGGTTTGCCAAACAAAGGAGTTAATAAACTTGTGTCAATTGTAGAGTTGAAGATGAGTGAGAGTGGAAGTATATTGTACGCGTGAGCAACTTTAAGGTTTTGTTTACAATATCTGCGAGAGTATGAGTGCAACCCGACTCAGAAGTATGTGCTCCCTTTTGGTTTGTGGGATGAATCAGTTTTTCCATTCTTAAGTTGTACACAAACAGGAGATTAAACTTGATAGCAATGGTAGTAATTGAGGATGAGTGACGAGTGGAAGTATATTGATGACGCGGAGCAACTTTATAGGTTTTGTTTACAATATCATTGGCCGAGAGTATTGCTGGAACCTCCGACTCAGAAGTTGAGCTGCCATTTTGGTTTTGGTGGGATGGTACTCAGTTCTACACAATTTTAAATGTTTCCGATGGACTAGGGACTGTAACTCATCTCGTTAATCTTACGCAAATGGTTCAATGGATGCTTCATCGATTATTACGCAAGTGTCTCGCGATGAGGAACAGTTGAACTCCTTCCCACCGCCGGACAGAGGTAAGAGACAGGTGTAAGAGCTGGTAAAACTTTTCTCTCCTGGTAGGAGGGGCTCTCTCTGACCTCTTATCCTGCCCTCTTAGGCGGGATGGGGTATTTAACGGGATGTTGAGGCGTCGGGGTGAAGGAGAGTGGTGTTGGGGAGGCAGAAGTTGGGGAGACTTGATGGGCGGGGATGCTGTGTTTACACTGGAGATGAGAGAGGGAGGATGATCTGGGAACTCGTAGGATTTCTTACTCTCACTTGATCTTAATCATGCTGGGTTTTTCTTGGTCATGCTGGCTGTCGGTCGTGTAGGCTCTGGCTGGATCATGCAGACTTGCTTTAAGTCATACAGGCTCTCTATCAGTTGTATATCACTTGTTCAGTCATACAGGTTGTATCCCTCAGTCATCCTGGTTCTCACTTGTTCAGTCATACAGGCTGTATCCCTCAGTCATCCTGGTTCTCACTTGTTCAGTCATACAGGTTGTATCCCTCAGTCATCCTGGTTCTCACTTGTTCAGTCATACAGGCTGTATCCCTCAGTCATCCTGGTTCTCACTTGTTCAGTCATACAGGCTGTATCCCTCAGTCATCCTGGTTCTCACTTGTTCAGTCATACAGGTTGTATCCCTCAGTCATCCTGGTTCTCACTTGTTCAGTCATACAGGCTGTATCCCTCAGTCATCCTGGTTCTCACTTGTTCAGTCATACAGGTGTATCCCTCAGTCATCCTGGTTCTCACTTGTTCAGTCATACAGGCTGTATCCCTCAGTCATCCTGGTTCTCACTTGTTCAGTCATACAGGTGTATCCCTCAGTCATCCTGGTTCTCACTTGTTCAGTCATACAGGCTGTATCCCTCAGTCATCCTGGTTCTCACTTGTTCAGTCATACAGGCTGTATCCCTCAGTCATCCTGGTTCTCACTTGTTCAGTCATATAAGCTCTCTCCCTTAATCCTGGCTCTTACTTGCTCAATCATACTGGCTTTCCCTCCTGGCTCTCGCTTGCTCAGTCATAAAGGCTCCTCAATCTTACAGGGCTGTATAATACTATGGGTTTAGCACTTCCCCATGATTATAAAAATAATATATAATAATAATCAATCTTATAGGGTCTCCCTCAATCATCCTGGCTCTCACTTTTCAGTTTTACTGGATCTTTCTCAGTCATAAGGATTCATTCTTCCTCAATCATCCTGGCTGTTATTTGCTCAGTCATACAGGCTTCCACTTGGTCAGTGATACTGGCTCTCACTTTCATTCATACTGGGTCTTCTTTAATCATACAGGCTCTTACCTCAGTCATACAAGCTTTGACCTCCTCAGTCATATAGTTTTTCTCCCTCATACAGGCACTTGCTCAGTCATAAAGGCACTTGCTCAGTCATACAGGCTCTTTCTCAGTCATACAGGCTCTTCTTCAGTCATACTAGCTCTCCCTCAGTCATCCTGGCTCCCACTTGCTCAGTCATACAGGCAACCACTTGCTTAGTTATACAGACTTGCACTTATGATATTGGCTCTGACTTTCAGCCATAGCTACTTGCTCTCACCTAGTCATACCGGCTCTCACTTCTTCAGTCATACCGGCTCTCATTTGCTCAGTTTGTCAATCACACTGACTCTTCCTCGATCATACTGGCTTTTCTCAGTTATACAGCTCTCATTTGAGGTCATAATGGGTCTCTCACTCGGTTATACTAGCTCTCAAACATACTGGTTCGTGCAGTCATACTTTCTCACTTGCTCTCACTCACTTGTAACCCTTTGATGTTTTGAGTGAGACTTGAATCTGTCCTTTTCCTTGTATTGAACCTGATTGCCTGTTTCCCTAAGCACTGTATGACCCTTACAGGTTTAGCACATTCCTATGAATGTAATAGTCCTCTAACACACATGTTATTATTCATTCAAGTCCTGGCTCACATTGGCTCTCTCTCTCTCACTTGCTATCTCATGTTTTCACTCATATTTGCTCTCTAATACTTGCTCTTTCGTTCTCATTTATTTCAGTTACTGTACATTTGCTCTCACACTCCATGTTTATTGCTTCATTTATCTTACTAATAACATTACTTGTCCTATATTAATAAGAATATTTGGTAATCGCGTTACGTTAAATCCGCCATACGAAGCATTTGAACGCAAAAATTTTGCCTCGCCTCACGATAAAAAACTCGCCTTACGTGATTTGTCCGGGACGCGTCCCACGTGTGGCCTCAGCGCCAGTATTTACAAGCCAGCCAGTGCAGTCGCATCTACGCATACATTCGGTACATTTCACATTATCCCAGTGTTTTTAGTGCTTGTAATTGCAAAATAAGTCACCATGGACCCCAAGAAAGCTTCTAGTGCCATCCCTGTGGTAAAAAGGGCTAGAATTAGTATGTAATTGAAAAAAAGAGATTAAGGAAATGTGTTCAAAGTGGGTTGAACTGCAAACCTTTACGGATGAAAATCACCCTGACACAGCTACTGCAAGCTGTGTTGGCAACCTATACAATGACAATGTTATGGCCCATTTTAGGAAAGTCTTAAAAGGAATGGGAGGTACAGAGCTCTATGGACAGATTTGTTGTGCAACAGAGGTCCAGTGACTCTCAAGCTGGTCCTAGTGGCATTAAAAGAAGGGAAGTAACCCCGGAAAGGGACTTGCTACCTCAAGTCCTAATGGAAGGGGATTCCCCTTCTAAACAATAACTTCCACACTCTCCCCTCCTCCCATCCCATCAATCACCAGATCTTCAATAAAGGTAAGTGTCATGTATTCTATTCTTAGTAGAGCAGTAATTGTGCATGTCTTCTTCAGTTTGTGCGTATTAAAATTAATATTTCATGTGGTAAAAAAAATTTTTTCATACTTTGGGGTTTCAGGAACGGATTAATTTGATTTCCATTATTTCTTATGGGGAAAATTAATTCAGCTAACGATAATTTCGGCTTACAATGAGCTCTCAGGAATGGATTAATATCGTAAGGCAGGGGTCCACTGTATTCTGCTCAGAGGCTGTAACTTCCTGTTTAATATTTCACTTAGTATGATTTAACATCTCCACTGTTTAGCATTTCATCATACAAATGGAGGGGAATTTTGGGGGTCAATGCCCCCATTGCCCTATCCATGACTACAGTATTATGTAAATGATAGTAGAAGTGCTTTCTATTTCCTTGCCATTTAAAAGGGTGTTAAACACCAAGAATGGTTTGGTTAAACCCCATTTGGATGAAGTTCAGCGCAAATTGTCACAAATAATGTTGCTATACATTTCTCTTATTGTCTTTTTTTTTTTCCCCTGTGTGGTTAACTTTTTTGTGTATTTCTGAGCACTTGGTGTATGTCTGGCAAATTTGATATATATTTCTCCAAGTCATTTGGCTGTACTTAATGACTCAAGTGGATTTCAAACTTTTTTGAGAATACTTATATATATAATAATAATAATCACATTGTTTGTCAGGTTACGGTAATTCCACAGAACTTAAGTAGCTTAGGTCTTGTTAATATTATGAGTATTGGGAGGTAAGGGAAGTTTATTAATCTAAAATATGCTGTACTTATTCCCAAAGTTTTCATTGTAATTTTGCTGAATAATCTTTAATCATCTTGCCTTTATTTTTTCTGATTTTCATTTGTACCCTTGTATCACATCTCCCCCATCTTCAGCATCTTTGTTAAGTGCAAGTTCCTAGCTCTTAATCAATTTTTTGTAGGGAAAATTCCTAATACAGGCATTTAATGTTGTCATTTTAATTTTATGTAGTATACAGAATAAGTAGTAGGTTGGTAGATAACAAATCTCAAGGGAGGTACTACCACCCTATCAGGTTAATGTGAAATGGAGACATGTTAAATGTCTTGTTGTTAAAGACCTTAAAAGATGATAGGTAAATCTCAAAAGTTTCATTCCTTCATACATATATCTTTACTTTCCTGTGTGCTGCATATAGGTCTTAATCCTGTCGATTTTCTTTTCCGACCTAGGAGGCCTGTATTTGTTAGTGATTCTAGAGATTTTTTTCTGAGACCAGGCTGTGGGGAAGGTAATCCCCAGAAACACTAACAGATATTAAGAGATTTATATCTTTTGTGTATTTATGTACATATACAGTATGGTCAGTTGCATGACCTGATTACAGTAATAAGGGTAACTATCAGCTCTCCTGGATTTTGAAGGCTGGATGGGGCAGTTGTGTTTCACTGAGTCATTGTATCATGACATGAGCACTTTTTCTGGAAAGGTAGCTAGGAAGTATAATATGGTGAATGTATTTTCCTTTTGGGTCCCCCTCCCAGTCCTGTCAAATGAAACTTTTTATTTTCCTGAGCAAGAGGGAATAAAGACCTTCATCTTAGACAAAAACAGGTGAATTTTATTAATGACCTGTAATAATTTTATCATGATTTTCATCTTTTGTGTGTGTATCATAGAAATGTTTATAAAAAGAGGACTCTCCTCATTGCATTAAAAAATCTCATATCACCATTTAAAAATAGAATTTATAATAAAAAAGTACCCTAATCCTGCTCCGCGAATGACATACCCATCGTGCCTGTAATACCATAAACTCGTGTTTTTACTCTGAAGTCTTAATGGTTTTACTGACACACAAATAACCCACACATAGGAGAAAGCAGCTCATGACAATGTATCGGTCTGACTTGGACCATCGACAAGTCACACAGGCTTATTTTTCCTATGTGCGGGTTATTTGCATATTGTTCCAGTCACGGTATTGTGCCTTTTTGTTCTTTCTGGTTTTTACTGATGTCATTGATACCAACACCTTTTGAATCATGCTGATTCAGTGTTTTTAAAAATTTAGAGACTTGGGGTTCTTTTAAGAAAAAAATAATGTATAATTTTAAAATTAAGTACTACCAATACATTATAATAAATTACCTCTGAAGACACATTAAAACCCAAAATAGGTTAAGAAAATCTAAATGAAATATAATTTTTGAAACTAGGTAAAAAAAAGAATTGGTCTCTATAATTCCAATACTAATGTTTTT